GCATCAAACTGGTAGGAGTGGGATGGATTGAGGTTCCCCTCCCCCGGCAGCTTTAACGTAAAGCCCTCTTCACCAGCTTGGCAAGCCTATGACCAAAGATGCTCTTCCCCTTCTCTGACAGATGGACCCCGTCAGCCCCCAGTAGACCAGGTTTCTCAAAGCGAGTCCCATGGTCTAAGTTTATTTTCATAAACTAAATCACAGATCTTTCAAAGTATAACAACATCTAAAGGCAAAATGCTTTACAAACTTAGGGAGTCAGAGAATTGGAAAAGAAAACAATACTGAATATAAATTTCAGATTAAGCTCTTATTGGTAGAGTTGAGTTCTGAAGTTCATCGCATACATGCATTTGATTTCAAAAGGACAAAGAATCAACACCCTGACTTCTAATTGTTCTGAAGTGTCTCCTGGCAAAAAGAAAACTAAGAGTAATATATCATTTTACCTCATTATTCAGCCTTTGGAATACAAATTCTCAGAGCTGTTTTAATGAAAAACAATATGCAATTTGAAAAGTAGCAGAAGTTCACATTAAAAAGCAGAAAAAAAATCTACAATTTGCTTTTTGTCATCACAGATGGCACTTTAAAAACTTTATACCCTGCTTTACATCTTGCCTGATGTTTTTTCTTAACAAAATATTATAAATTAGCTTAACTCTAAGATTAATATTTCACTCCCAAATACAAAGAACAAGATTTTTCAAAGCTCTATATTACATTTACCTCAAAAAAAAAAAAAGAGGAAATAGACAAATTGTGAAGAAAATCATATACAGAAAGAAGAATATATGCATTATTCAAATCAAGGTGCAAATCTGAATAGCAGATGAGATTTTTCCCAAATACACTGATTATATTAATTGCTATTTGAATAACAACTGTATTATGAATAGGGTTGCATAAAGTCAAATTTAACTGAAGCAACATCTGGCATACTAAAGGTGTCACAAAAGATACATCTGTAATTTGCAAAACTAGTTCCTTTAAAGGTGTGAAATATTCATCGCTCATCATATTTTTAAGATTATGAGCTCAGAACGTTATGAACCTCAGATTTCATTAAATCCCCTTGTTGCATCTAAAGGCTATTGCTTACAGAGAAAAATAGTGGTGCATTTTCCATCATCTTGAATATAGCAGTAAGTCTGGAAGTAAAGGCACAAACAATTGCACACATCTGCCAGCTCCCTGCAAACTGTGCACCAAATTATAAGAATAAGGAATCAGTTACTTTTAGAATAGCATTCAGGCTGAGTTACTACCTTGTCTCATTCCACCTCAGATTTTGAGAGGACTACTCGCCAACACTCACCCCCACCTGCAACACACGCTAACAAGACATTTATAGTCCTACTCTGATCAGCACTTACATTAGCTAGACCTAGTACTTCAAGTGAATTTGGGAGATTTTTATAGTGACATTTAATGACATTTTCACCCTACAAAGCATGCAAAGGCTTTAGTGTCATTATTGACTAGGTTTTAAAGGGATCTGCAGGCTGTATTTCATTAGTAAAACAACATTAATTTACTACACAAATCATTACAAAGAGCGAGAAGTGTTTATCATACTTTATAAGGTAGTGTGATTTTCATGTGACAACTTATTCATGCATAGCTGGAAAATGCAAATAATCTACTAAATTGGGTAGTGGTACCATTATGCCTTATGTGCTGGAAATAGCATATGCGTAAATGAGAACTCAGAAAAACTATTAAGATATATCAACATACTTTATTGCAGTAAATGCTAGTAAAATTGCAATCGCTATTTAAATCTTAGTTCTGAAATAATCTCCACAAAGATAGGCCACTATGACAAGAGACAGCTCTGTGCAGAACTAGAGCTTCAGAGATTATTTTTATCTCGCTATTTTATCAGTGTAATGAGACAAATTATCCTCTGAGGATAACTTGGTTGAACAACATTAATTTCTCAAAATAAAATGAACAGCCAAAACACGTGAGGGGTTATCTGCCACAGGTAACATTTCATGTATTATTTTATAATACAACTCTTCCATAGTACATTTTTTTTGCTGCTTATGAAGGAATTCTGAACTTTAACTGATTTTATAATCAGTGGCATGTTGGTTACTAACATTAGTGTACATAAACATTTCCACAAAATTTGACATTTGAGTTTTATATAAAACAATTTAAAACCAACAGGGGATTCTTGACATTTCATTTTTCCTTTTCACCTAAAAGAAGTTTAAAGAATAAATGATATGGCCCACAATACTTTAACTCTTCATTACCGAGAGTACATTAGTTAAAGTAGCCCTGTGCAAGACAGTGTGCTCAACTGCGACGGAAGATTGTGGGATCAGACTTGCAACTATTAAATACAGAGAAACGCTACCCACCTTGTGCTCTCTGTACTAAAATTGCACTCCTTTCTCAAAATAATACATGCTCGTGGCCCCAGTTGAGCAATGGGTGCATAAAATTTAACCACCTCCTCACAAAGTTTCTTTAATTTTATTTTCAAGTCCTACTAAACTTCAAATACTCTTGTAAAATTATATATTTTTACTTCTCATAACTTGAGAATAGTGTAAATTTTTGTATCTATATGTATTTCTACATACAGAGATTTATAATGATCGCACCTGTTTGAAGATACGTATAGATTTCATCCCACACTAGTACAATTCAGAGAAATTTTGACGCCTTTGAATTTCTTAAATACAATGTATTTAATGTATGACCTCCATACCGCTCTGTACTACTCATTTCATAAAAAGGAGTGTCTATATTATGTGAAAGCTTGTCCTTAAATCAGAGCTACAAGAGCAAAATATTCATAACAGCATTTATAAAATTGGAGATTATCCCCATTGAAAGACTACTGAACAGTATTTATACGACTTCATGCACTATTTCATAACTAGAAAAAATATTCACTTATTGTAACATGTGCAAAAGACTGAAGCGGAGTTTAGGAGCCTTCCTAAATAACACAGTAAAGAGCGCGAGGACCTGTTCTCTCAGTGATACTTCAAAGTGTCATAGTTTTAGACAAAAAAAAAATCATTGACATAGAAAGTGTAAAATTATTAGCACAGTCTTATTTTAAAGAGATCTCTGCGAGACAGTGAAAGACACTTTCCTCAGAAGAAAAGTAACTAGGTAGTGATTTAGAAAAGGCTTTTGTAATACCTATTATTTTATATGCTTATGCAAATATAAAAATACTGAAAAGTTATGACACCTTCCCAGGTCAGGCCCCACATTCTTCTTCAATTTCATTTTCAAGGACACTCATGACGTGTTATTTGGCTAGAATAATCACTTGAAAGTAGCTTTTTCTAAACAAATGAGCAAATATCTGTCTTGTTTAAAACCAAGCACAGTAAAAACCGATAAAGAATCCAGCTATGGGTAAAAACAAAACTTACTGCATTGCTCTTCATTAAATACAGAGTGAACAGGAGGATAAATGCAGGCATAGCAGATGTGTTAAGAGAGACAGTTCATTTTTAATAATCTGAGATTTATTAGTAAAATATTATCAGTTAAAATAAATGTTTATGTACAATATAATTGGAAATCCTAACATCTAAAATTAGTTTAATGTATTTTTCAGGATTTAGGCATGCATTTTCACCCAAACTGTGATTGTTTGTGACTATACAATAATATCTTCCAGGTTTGAACACCTTCAATGTCTCTCCTACGTTGCCATGTTGAAAACAACCAGACAAGAGGGAAACTCCGTAGGATCTCAGCAATTCATTTAGCATATGCAAAGATCAATTAAGCACTTAGTCATACACTATAGTCTCCCGTGCCAGAGCACAGGTATTATTCAAATATATGAATTGTAATCAAAATTAACATTTAGTGTCTTCCTACGCAGTTCCTATCGCAATAATATGGCATCTGAATAAAGCAGCAGCTTCCTGGTTTAAGCATTTCTACTATACTTACTTATCTCAGTAATACCCAGACAGCGTGTATTATGACTCAAATGAAAGCAAGCCTTTTTCATTCAAAGATCTTAATTCTCATGTTTCGGAGGAAATTTTTTTTTCCTGGACTCAGGTTCTTCAGAAACAGGGTAGCCTCTTCCCAGCTCTGTCTACAGAAAAGACTATGTCCAGGCCAAACTGTAAGAAAACCTAAGGCGCTAGGTTTTCCACAGCTCTCTGTGCACGTGACTACGTAAGGACCACAGAAGACCAGGGAACTGCAGCGTGTAGCTAGGTAGTTTTTCAACAAGTTTATAAACCTTTCTAAAGAAGAGATAAAATAATCCAAACTCTTTGTTGCGTATGTCTAACACTCTTCAGAATATTGATATCAAAGTGTATGTACAATAAAAAATACCTAATTTTCATAAAACGTCTGTATAAATACATCTCCTTGACACACTCTTCACAGTGATTTCTACATGTAAATTAAATGTTTGTTTTAAATGTGCATTTGTCAGAACTTTGGGTTTATCTTCATATTTCCGTTAGAAACCTTCCTTTGCAAAAGAAAGTTTCAGATAAGAATACTTCTACAGAACACCCTAGATTCATATCAATAAAAGTATTAAAATTCTGATGTACATATTTAAAAATCATTTTGTATTTGATAAACTGCACAGTTCTCATTCCAGTCGTCCTTGCTTAGCATCGCCTATTGCTCCCCATACATCAAAGACAAACTCATCTGGAAATGCAAAGTCTCCAAGAGTTTCATCCAATGCCACTGCAAATTCATCTGGGTTTTTCTTGTCTCTTCCAGCTTCCACCATTGTTGCAGCTAAAAAGCAACAAAACAAAATAATGTAATTATCATGAAAGTGACAGCTAACATATATGGCCGAGAGAGTTTTTGAACGTCTGTTTTCAAAACGAGGTAAAGTCAGCTTAGGGAGACATAAAGCTTACCTACTGAATTTAGGATTCAATAGGAATTATGTACTTAAATCCCCCCACACTAGCTACGTTCTGCTCTGACAAACAGGAGAGCTTCCTTGGAGCGCTCGTTATATATTCTTCTGTTTGTTTGGCAGAGGTTTATTTTTTAATTCAATGAACCTTCATTTTAATCTTATTAAATTATATTCTGTTTTCATTACTGAAGACACATGAAGCATGGGTTTAAAAACAAGGTTAAGCGCAACACTTCTGCAATAAGACCCATGCCAGATCATCACCAACTTCAGTGAGTTTGATAGGAGCTTGCTGATCTAAACCAGAAGATCAAAAGGCAAACCTGAATGTTTTTCTCCTCTAAACGACGAAGAAAAGATCTCAGCAAGTCAGAGTTTAAAGTGGCCAAGTTCTTCACAGAAAGCCAAAAGGCATAGGGTTCAGACACAGAAAACAACATACAGCCTGCATAATAGATCTCTACAACCAAGCTAGTATGGGTTTGCTAGCAGCAACCCATGTTTTACCAGTTTAAATGTTGAGCATGACCTGCATTTAGAAAAGAGTAATGATAAATGGGCCTAGAGAAAACACCTGAATACCCGACTTTAGGAGACAAGAATTCAAATACTAGGCTCAACTAATGTGTTGTGTAAAATACAGAGTAAATTAAAATCTGGTTGTTAGGCACTGGACACAGTATGTTTGCAACTGCCTGAAAGAAGTTGTGCTCTCAAGAAACTACCATATGACCTCAACAGATTTGTTTAATTTTTCAGCTTCGTTTTATTTAATTAACTTTAGATTAATTTTTTAACCCAGAAGACACCTCCAGGTAGTGAAGAGACTGATGCATTTATTGTGAGCCACATTATTCTTCTGCTTGGATCTACATTTTTTTCAATACCATCCAAACTAAAGAGTAACTGATTTCAGCGTATGAGTTTGCTTCAGTTATTATTACCTCCAGCTCTGAAAAGCAAATCTTTAATTTATAGCACCCTCAAGGCTGGGAAAGTTTGTGCTTATGCCACTATGAAGTGAAAAAGATCGAAGTTATTTCTGGAAGTCTCAGCCAGGTGTGGTTCAAATTGTGCAACAGCATGGGAAAGGCCTCGCTGCTGTGCACAGTAAACCGGAGCCACCAAAGACAGGAACATCTTGGTACCCAGGAAAGTTAAAGCAGAGATGTCTGATACAACAGAGGTAGACCGTGATATCTTGTATACCTATGCTGTATGGCATTTTCTCTTATTTAACACCCAAGTATCAGAATTTATCAAGTTTTAGACTTTAGTTTGGAAATGGCTACACTGGGGTCGTTGCGTAGGACTCAGTCCTTAGCTGCTGTGCTCATCCCTCACCTTTAGCCACTGTGCAGTTTCTCAGATTCTAGAAGAAATTACAAGTCTACCCCGAACAACACAGGATGCTGGCAACCCAGTGACGTTAGAGTAAATGAAAACTGTGAGGGCTCAAACCTCTCTCAGTCATGGCACCTGCACCTCCCTGAAGGATGAAAAGTGTCAGCACAGGAGTTTCTCCTGGTTAAGCAAGGCCAGGAGAACTACCGGCAGCAGGCTATCATGGTTTGACGAATGCAGAAGACTCTGTAAAACAGACTCAGCACAAACAGCACTGCTGAATGCAGTTTATTTTCTGAGTTGTATCTCTGCTCCACAGCCTCTGTTCATATTCACAAGAAATGATGGTACTGTACAGTAGATGAAACTCTCAAAGTCTGCTTCATTTCACGATTACTTTACACACCTGCCTTAAATTGCAAGATGTTCTCCATCTTTTGTTATACATCAAGTAACCACCACTTTCTTCATGAGTATATCAAATTCAAGTGTCACACTGAAGGATTTGACAGCTTCTAGCCTTTTCTCAGAGGGATATCCAAGTAGAAAACTTGTATTACAGTGCCTGAGAAAGGGAAAGAAGTCCTGAAGCCACAGATGACCACCTTCACTGGGACAGTCTGCCGTCTACTGCATGCGCTGTGTTGTATCAACATGGCAAAATCTCTCTGATAAAAAGGAAAAGAAATTTCCCCTGCTCTGAAGTTTTATTAAAATGTATTTAATATTATTTTCTTGACCTGAAACTCAGTTTAAGTTTATTGACAGTTATGAACTTCTGGCAAACAGTGTTTGCTGTTATGCAAACTTGTAACAAGCAGTGAGCAAACTTGAGCCATATTCCACATTGTAGACGTCAGCAACAGTAATTCTGAAGAAATCTGACGTTTTGGTTTTAACTACGTTCAGATGTGAGGCTTCAGACTGAAACGCAGCATGCCAAACTACACAAAGCAGTACATGGAAAATTTACATAAATCTTGACAAACGAAACGCTGTGATCGAGATAGGCACCACTAGTGGTTCTCAAGGGCTCTCAAGACCTGTTTCCCTGCCAGAAAAAAACCTATCCCTGTTGCATTGATTCTTTCTGTGTCCCCCGTGAAGTTCCTGGGACACTGACTCAGAGGAGTCTGGATGGAAAACAGGCATTAAACAGGGTACTCTTGTTCCGGACAAGTGGAAGACAAATATTTGTCCTATCAATGCCACCTTATATCCCCTGACACTGTGGCATAAGAAGGTACTTACAGAGGAGTAAGTAAGTTTACCTGGAGGTAATGAGGTGAAAGGTGTACTTTAAACTTCACAGATGTCTGGATATGAACCAGGATATGAAGTTACTCAATATAGACACTGGGAGAGGGTTGGAAGGAGAAGAGCTGTGCAAGGTGACACAAGAGCAAACGTGTCTAGATATAGTTAGTTAGTTACTCAAGACATTAAAAAAAAAGTTGCCATCAGTAGAGTGAGGATCTAGACAAGTGTTCCAGCAGAAAGAGTGGGAGCAAGGAATTTAGCCAGCTTTAAGATAAATTGGTCAAGACATAGGAAAGATCCATATGACACAGACAGCAGCGATAAAACAAGACAACACAGCATTATATTACAGTCCAACTGCCCTAGGTGAAACCTCAGAATTACACAGGAAGAAACTCTTTCGTTAACAGAAAATGTTACTTCAAACACAATTTTCTTTAAAGATTGAGCTTCCCAAATTATTAAATAGAACCTTAAAAATAGTTTATTATAGATTTACCAAACTTGAAAACAAAATCCACTAAACTTAGATAATCAAGTCGACTTTCAACCCAGTCAGCAGGAGTCAGAACGCCACCGCCGTGCGAAAGCAGCAGCCTCACTTAAAAGTGCTTTCAACTGTATTGAGCAACTGTAATCAGCACTACCGGGGTACATTTAATGTACTGGGTTTATTAAAGCACATTCCCCTTCCCAGATTCACCCGATGTAATGAAGTACACGTCTGCGGGGAGATTGCAGGGTCGCCCCTGCTGGGGTGTACGTTTTCGATAGCTTGGTGCTGACCTCTGGTGCCAGCAGAGCTGTATTACCGCGCAGCAAACCCTACGGCAAGATGAAACCATCCTTCCCGATTTTCGCACCCGAGCTGCACCACTGATGCGTACGAACGTGCAAAGCCGACCCCTGCTTCACCAGCCTCATACGTCCAGGAGCACTGCAGCTGACCAGTCTTCCCTATCACCCAGTGTAGATATTCTTATTTCCCCAGGCCGTCAGCACAGACATGGGGTGGCATCCCCTCGTCGGCACAGCTGTGCAGAACATGCGTGTTTACACAGCGACATTTGCCATGTGTAATTCCCAAGGCAAATCAAAACCTACAGATTGCCAAGGCATTTAGCAGATACTTGCCAACTTGAAGAAAACTTTACTGGTTCTCAGAGGGTGACAGCTCTGTGCCAAATTGCCTCCACTCCCCTCCCTTTCCCCCACCACTTCTCGTAACAGCTGCACAGTAAGCGATTGCAGGAATTTTATTCCAATAGAATATTTTTCCACACTCCAGATAGCCCAATTGTTTTCAGATTTTTTTTTTTTTTAAATCTCACTTCAGACAATGCTCATACCTGAGAAATTTTTACATAAAATGTGAAAAGTTCAGCAAACTTAAAAGTGGTGAAAGGAATTAGAAGTCTTCTCAACTTTAACTGAGAAGCTCACTATCAGGCTTCCCAGAATATGAACATAAGAGTATGTTGTCTTTTTAAACCTAGTCCCTTTACAATAACTTCAAAGATCTTTCACAAAATCCTTATTTTCACTTTTGATAGACACATGCGGCACAAGCCATCAAAGCTACGATCTGCCTGCTGTTGTTATTATCTACCTTACATAGTGGTTTTGCTACCTATATCCTATCCTGTAACTTCTAAAAAAACTTTTTCAGAAGTTTTAACAGAAACTTCAATATTTATCTAGCTGTAATGCTATCAGAAGCTTTGCCTTCATCAAAAGCCAACAAATATTGCTATTCTGGCCTGACACTTTAAAAGAGCTAAAATTCACATTCAGCTTCCTTACGACATGACGCAAAATGAAGTGTGTCATTGCAGTTTCCAGTGTTCAATATTATTTGGTTTAAACTTCATGCTGAACATTGTCAGATCAAGGAACCATTAGAAATATCCTTTCTTCTTGTTTCTTTTTATTAAGTACTAATTCTTGAGGTGGAGAAGTTTTCTTGTTTAACCAGACTTGCTACCTTTCCCTTTTTCACAAAACTCCCATTATCCTCTCACAGTAAATGAGCAGTCATAAACAACACACCCCAGAGTGTATACAATAAAATCCTTTGGGAAAGGAAGTCTGGTGACAGAAGGAGCAGAAAACAACAGATTCAGGGAGAGTATCACTTTAGTCAAGGCATTTCAAGATAAAAATGTCTATCCAATATTGCTGGGTTGGATTAGTGAGCCAAGAGAAGAAGCTTGGGTGACGAAAAGTTTAAACCTGTTAGGACATTTTGACTAGATAGTAAGTTTGAAAAATAAAGTCAAGAGTGGAGAAGTAGATTTGAAATTCTTCTAAACAGAGGGGGAGAATATGCAAAGATATGTAATGTCTGACGATATTATAGAGAACAACAAAAAGGAAATAATCATCCAAAGGCATAAAAACAGGACAAAATAGAACAAAATATCAGTGGATGAAGAGCTAGCCAAGAGATGCTGAAAGAAAAAAGTTGGAGGGGAAGCCCTTTTTGCCATCATTTTTCCATCGGTAGCATTCTGGGGTTGGATCCCATAGAACCAGGCTTCCTCCCACCCAGAATCTTTGGGATCAAATACAGTCCATAACAATTCAAGCCTCGCTGATTTAAAAAATAAATGCCACCAGTATTTTTCACTAACACTGTTTCCTGAGTCCCTTCTATTAATCAACTGTTCACGTTCCTTTACCAGAAAGCCCTGACAGGATTTAAAATAACCTGAATTATCTCTCAATGGCGCATTTATGTTTTAAAGAATGCTGAAGTCAAGCCTTGGCCCAATTTCTAATGTGCCCATAAAATGGCTGAGGAATATACTTCCAGAGCCAAGTGTCCCTTGTGCAGATTAAGTCCAGTTTTCAGTAAAATAAAGAGAGAAAAAGGTAAAAGTGAATTCAAAAGGCAGGTATGTAAATCTCAACAGCATTTAGATCTCTGAAAATAAAAAACTGTGTGAAAAAAGTAAGTGTACGCCATTTCCATTAAATGATTTCCAAGCATTTTGTTCCAACTTAGGGATTTGTGTGTAGATTTAGTCAGCCATTCTTGAAACTGTCAAGATACTTAACTATGCAAAAATTAAGGGCTTTATCTCATCTTTAATTCTGTCTGTAATTTTACATTATTTTTTCTTTCCTTTCTTTCTAACTACTGGCTTAAAACTGGGGCACTGTTTTAGAATTCAATCACACCATGGAAGTGTCATTTTAATGGAGATGAAAGAGCAATATTAACTGACATCCAAAGCTTCTGACAAACAGAACTGCATGGGAGTGAGCAATGATTGAGATTTTAATCACTTGTCGGCTGTCGCATTGTGATGACTTGCATTTTCAACTAATCTGGCTTGAGTAATGAGTGAAATTTCTAGCTGAGTGGTGATTGGCATTCTCTGAATGAATCCTTTCCTCATATTTCATTTTCATGGGTGACTGATCACATCCAGTATATGAAAAACTGACATATGTTAATTGAACAGATTTGTGACAGGTTATTAGCTCTCCTTTCCTAAAAAGTCCTAGAGCTGTTTAATTGTTTAAAAATGATAGAACTTTTTTTTTCCATGACCATTGGCCCTCGACTCTAAGATTTGAACTTCAGGAAATGGCTTCAAAGGTGCAAACTAAAGCTACGTGAACCCTGTAGTCTTTGATTCCTGACAATTTCTCTTTGTTTCACTGCCTTTTTGGGAGGAAGAGACGAATGGCAAAACAACAACCTAGTTGGGAAGAAGAGAGTATCTTTGAGGACAAAGACCTCTTCCTTCTTTGAGCATTCTTTTAAGGCATTCTTTCAAACTTTCCAAACTACATACTAAAAGGTGAAGGACATGAGATCTTTTGGAAAAAAAAAAATCAAGGAGTTCGTAGGAAAACTCTACCAGGTGCTTGGCAAACAGCTCAGCCATATGTGCTGAAAGCTGAATTCCTGTCTACTGTACAAGAGCCATCCTGTTACGATACCAAGAGCCAAAAACACAGGGAACACCAGTTCCCACAGGAACTTGCTTCCCTGTCCCAGAGCAGAGCATAGCACACCTCAACATCCCAAGAAATGATGCTGTAGTCTAGGATCTCAGGCTTCTGGGCTATGGACACCAAAACCAGAACATCTATAGCCGCTTATTCCTGTAGGGCCAGGAGCCTGGGGACCTTGGAGGTAACCTGCAAGGACAGGAGCCTCCAGAAGCCCAGCTTGAGCTGGGCCTGCGACAGCTGCAGGACAAAAACAGCTCCCAGAGGGACGGTTGGCACAAGACTCGGAGCTTTGAAGCCTGAGCCAGAGATGGACCGAGCAGTGGAGGCTGCGGGAGAGTGACAGGACATGGGATCCTCCCTAACCTAAACAGAAGGTCAGCACCACGCAGGGATCCCGGGAGCATATTACATGGCAGGGGCATCGCATATCAGAGTTGCCGGGAACAGAATTTTTGAGAATTTTCAGTTTTCTGGGAATCGGAAAGTTTAGATATTACCTACAAAACAGAATTCACAAGTTTTGGGCAGCTCTGCTCTCTCTTCTATGCCAGGAAGCCCACCTCTACCTTAACCTGGGGGACAAGTAATACTTTACCTACAATTTTTGCTGTGAGAAAACTAGTAGAAGCTGCCAATCAGATGCTTGCCAGTAGAAGCAGCCAGCAAAGGACTTTTGGCTATTCAGATCATCTCCTGTTGTTCTCATTCCTCTGTGCTAACTGCTGCCTGTCAAATCCTCCTGCTTTTTGCCCTTAGCTTTGTGCCAGACCTATTTTCTCTTCTTTTTTGCCTCCTCCACTTCTCTCTCATAAAAGCTTTCTTTTCAAGACCACTTTCCATTTAGCTTATCCTTTCCTAATTCTTGGGTTATTTTTTTTAGTTATTACCATAACAACGAATACCTTCCTCTTTATCTCAGTATTAGCAGTTCCACAAGATCGTATGAGGACTACACCCAGCCACAGCTGGCTACAGCGGCACTTCTTACTCAACTAGACTACAGCTTCTTCCCATACAAACAGAAGTTCCTATTTAGTTGTTGTCAGATTAACAGAGAGAAGCAACAGCTGCAAGGACAAGTTTAGTGCAGTTTTAAGGAACTTATGACACTGGGGTTGAATAGTTTCTTTCATTATAAATTGATGATTGTGATAGCTAGTAAATATTCTGGAAAATTTCCCATGTTCTTCAGAACACAGGCTTTAGAGAATTTGGTAAGTTTGTGCAATTACTCTTGTCAGTTCCCTTGCTAAATAGTTGCCCTTTCACTGATGAAGATCTCAGGTTCAAACTTTATTGATCAACTTTGATGTGTCTAAGCCAAGGGGCAAAAGAGCAAAAAAGCAGATAGACATGCTTATCCTTAACAAGCCTTAAATGTGGTACACACCAGCTCCACTAGAAAATATATGCCAGAAAGAATACGGTGATGACAGTTAATGGCAAACAACTAAATAATTCGTGTAACAGTGTATCGATAACATACAGGAAGAATAGAGGATTAATTAATTACATCATAAGGCTTGTAGTGAGAGATTCTTTCTTTTATCAGAGAGACACATTTGCAGAAATACAGACAAGCTTCTGAGACTTCATGCTGGACAAATTTTGCTTTGCTTATATCCAGAGACTAAAGTACTCAATAAATTTTAGACTACAGAAAATGAGAAATGGTTTAATCTTGTAGTAATGTATCTGTTAAAAACTCACCTAATTCGATATCTCTTATCCCCATGTATGTTTCAAGAAGCTCATCCACTTTTTTAATTGCTTTTTCTTCAACTTCAGTTGGCTTTGTTGAAATACAGGGAGAAAAAGAGCAAAAGTATGATTATATCCATGCAGATTTCAAAATAACCAGCAATTTGCCACTGATTATCCTTACTCTCATTCCAGCCACCTAGACTTACAAAACCTACAAGTAAAACACATTATTCCACTTTCTTTCCCTCTTCTCACAAACCTGAGCCTTCCTCCTAACGTCAAGCCACACAGCGCTCACATTCAAACTAAACAGGGGCCTTACATCTCCTGACAATACAGATCTTCATCAAATCCTCATCAGCTTTAGAAGAACCCAGAATAAATAACATTTCTTCTTCCAAACCCTAATCCTGGTTTTACACATATTCATGTCAACGTACGTTAGTAGCCTCTCCTAAAAGCAACCCTTACACCAGCCCAGTACACTTTGCAGTGCCAGAAACAGAACCAAGTCTTCAACCGCCCCCCTCTTTTTTTCCCCCCCTTCCCTCTTCTCAGCACTGCTTGGTCTAATCTACCTTAAATTCATCCATGTAATCCATGACATCTAAATACAGGTTATCTGTTTCCAGATTCCTCAGCCCCATCCTACCCCTGCTAGTCTTCAACTTTATATAAGCATTTCTCCCTGCGGAAGGCAGTCCTCTTCTTAAGTCCCGCAAGCTTTGTAACATCCAGATTTTTCCTTCCTACTTTACCTTATCAACCTTGGGGAAGAATAAATCAGGTGCTAAACGATTAAACTATTAAAGGGCCCCAAGACAACCATACCATTTCCTCCACAGTAGCAGGGCCTTTGGTTCTCAGCCGAAGTGTTTCTCTCCCTCTGGAGATTTTAGCCTCTGGCAGAGTTCCACCTTTGGACCTTGGTTCCAGCTTTTCTAAAGACAAAATAAACAACAAAAAGAAAAGAAAACCAAACAAAACTAAGTATATGGTATGTCAGAATATGATGTATCTGCTTTGGCTATTACATTACCTTCACTTTTTATTCTAATCAAGATCTAGACATATGTAAAAATTTAATTATAAATTAACTGTATTCTAAGTATAGCTTTGCTGACGATTTCTTGCCTTCAAACTTTGATACCTGCTTGACTGCACCGAAGCTAGGACTTCCATTAACCAATATATCTATGCAGGCCTATTGCACTCAACTTCATTTATGCACTTTGCATAATTTTATTTCCCTATTCTACAGAAAAGTAGAAGTATTTATTACTTAATATTAGATAGTGGCCGAAGTCATCAGCCAAATGCTGATTTATGCTGGTCTTTACAGGCAGACTATGTAGCAGGTTTAGCATTGCAACATTTCCATCTTTCACTGATGCAATGGCGGAAACACCACTGCTGAACAGGTCATGATGAGCCACATGGAGCTGAGCTAACGATTTGATTACTAGCAGTCACATAGGTGAAATGTCCATAAGTAGATCTCCAGGAGTTTTTCCACTGGTTTCACCGAGGTCATGATTTCACACCTGAAAAATCTCTACCAAGAATATCTGGGTTTACCCAAAGTTTTCTTTACCTGAATTCAGCTTTCCTTCTTTAATCTTGGGTAAGGGCACCCCAGTTAGTAAATGGAGAATGGAATAATTTAAGATTTGGCTTTCTTGTTCTAGGACATAATTTTACATTCGAGAGTGGCGAGGCTTTAATTTACTTACTGACATGGGAGTTACATAGTTAATCTGGAAAGTGCTAGAAGAGAGGAGATAGTTTTGCAGAACTGTTTTTAACTGTGTTGTTTTCTCTACCAGATTATTCCTCCTCTTAACAGCAGGCCTTTCTAACAAGCTGTCCTTGAAGGCAAGACCTTAACATGCTATATTCATTTTGTCCAGGTGATTCCAACTCATCATTCTTGCATAACTAGTTAAAAATCCAGATTATTCTGCTGAACAAGTCTTGAAAAGTAAATTTGAATTGATTTTAACAAATAGATATGGCACAGTCTCTCATATATCCTTAGGATCAACACTTTTCCTTAATCTTTTATTGCTTCAAGGACAGTTTAAAACATCCTTAGGATTGTCATCATTTCTGCTAGTCTTGTTTCAAAAAGTCATTCCTGATACAACGTACATCTTTTTCTAGTTCTGTCACCATGAGCACCTTAAAACTCATGATCTGACATAACATTTATTTGCAATACTTCAGACTGAAGCTCTCTGGCCATCACAGAAACTAGTTTTCATATTCACGTAATTTAAATTTAGAGTTTGTGTTATGCTGCCTTTACTTTGTTTCTATTAATTTTTCACCAATTCACAGAGGGCCAGCTTGTGACTGGTAAGGACCAACCTTACTCAGACAAATCTTTAATTCTGTGCTACAAGCCTAGCCTAGAGTAGCTGAGGCAGCCTGTGTGCACATGGTAGAAAGATATCCAACCAGTAAATTATATTTATTTCACATTCGGCTGAGAGGAAGAAAAAGAAAAGTTAGTAATTTCACACAGAGGCTTGTCTCTTATTTCTACACCCTTACAAACTTGTGTTGAAACTAACAGGAATTCAGCACCTACTTGTCCAGCAGAATCTGGATCTTGTTCGTCATCTCCTCTGGGGCTATTCTCAGCATGCTGCAGCTTAAACACTATCTTGAATAAATTTGTGCCTAAAGCCTAACTGCACCTAAGGCCAGAGGCGGGATATTCTAACCTATTAGGCACTGCAACTTGTAAATTAATTTCTGTAGGGTAAAAAATAACGTGCATCTTCCAAAAATCTGTCCAAAAAGCTCTGATTGCCTCTTAATTCAATGTCAGATAAAAGGTATTGCCATGGAATTAGCAGGTTTCCTTCTCTACATCACAGGCAGACTACAAGGTATCTTAATCACCTGACTAAAGTAATTATTATTAAATAATGGCTGAAGTCGTCAGTCAAATGCTGATTTACCTTGGTCTTTACAAACAGACTATGTAACACATTTAGCATTGAATACAAATTATAGACCCATATTAAAAAGGTATTCCTATATTACTAATTGCAATACTATACATATGTAATACTACTTTAGCATAATGTATAACATACACATTTACTTAACAGGAGTATCAACTTATATCCAAATGCATTAGAGATTAACTCATAACCCTCATTCTTCACAGAAGCACCAAAAGCAAAAAGAAATCTTCACATTTCTCTCATTTTCAATTTCTGCTGCTATTCTGACACCAAGTGTCAAGCCTGGTGTATGACAGCAGTTGTAAACCACTAACAGGTAAAAAAAGATTTGGAAAATAAACATTTCAAGCTTTTGCTGCTGTGGTGAAGACGGTGATTTTGAACTTGCTGTTAGTGCAGGTGTGCACAAGGACTCATACACACTTATAATTTAGCAGTATTTTGAAGTTTTTATTACAGAAAAATGCTACACAGTTTGGGGGGGGGGAATATAAATAATTGAGAGAATAAAAATTAAAACTCAGTCTCTATTTTGACTCCCTGATCTAAACCTACTTTTTATTTTTGTTTACCACATTGATAAAATTAATATACATAAGGATTAGCAGTAGGTATGCATTCCTCCTATATAAGTACGACTTTCTCACAGCATGCAGGTGGTAGGTAGAGACAGAGCTTTGCCATATTGCTTTCTTTCCAATTCTGAGTATACCCGCTGTTGGGGAGAGGGAGAGCAGGCAGACATGCAGCAGAGGAGGTGCTCTAGGGAATCCCTGACAGTGCTTCCTGCAGCATCCTTCTGCATTAGAGAGCGCAGTCCCCAGACAAGGGTATAGAAATAGAAAAATCTGACACACAGATGAACAGGGATTATGTATCAATAGAGGAACAGAGGAGAGGAGGTTCGAGGATCAGCACATTAGTGAAGTGATCCATGCTTTAAAACTGTATCTATGAAACAATTCCTGTACTTATTTTGCATCATCATGTAGTGGCAAAGGAATCGAGCAACTGAGACTCAGGCTGAGGTAGCCCACACCAGGATGACTGCTGGAGAAAGCAAGATGGAAGAAAATGTATTCATCAATTTTCCACTTCAAAGAAGAAAAAAAATAGTACTTTCTTGTAGTAGTTACGTTACCTTGTGTGGACACCTGGCTGCAATCTGAAAACAAACTTACAATGCAATTCAATGTTGGGATTTCAATATCCAGGAACAAGGTGGACAGTCAGGTCACTCACCAAATGCTTTCATAGGCTCTATCAACTCCAGCTTAAACATCTGACCTTTCTCTAGATCTTTTAGCATTTTGGCAACTTCATAATGCCGACAATCTGACACGTTTTTTCCATTTATAGTCTCTATGTGATCACCCACGCAGATAATTTTGGTTTGGTCCATAAGGCTACCTTCTTTGATTCGCTATTGTTTGAATAAAAAAAAAAATTAGAAACATTTCTTTAAAAGGTAAAGAGGTGACACCACAGAGTTTCAAGAATGTCAGTTAACAACATCAATACCATTGAGCTTATTATACCAGCAGTGCGTTTTGTCTACAAGATTTTCATAAAACATACTTTGGAAAGCATTATTTTTCAAACAAGTATTTTAATAAGCACTGAACATAAAATCAACAGGAAAAAAAAAGAATGCAATCATACTTTAGAAATTAAGGCTTCTGAATAAGCTAATATTTTTGTGCTTTAAAACTGAACCCAAACGTGTCAGTGACGTGAATGTTTAATTGAGTTTTGGGTTTTGATATTGATTTAATAGCTTGACAAGCATAGGAACAGAACTTCTCTCAAGTATGGTCCAGGGACATTAAAAAATAAATTAAAAAATGTGCATGATATACTAAAAAATGACATACTATAAAGGGCTAATCTTAGTAAGACCCATCTATAGTGATAAAACTTGTAGCATTTTCCTCATCAAGCTATACAGCTGCATATTAAAGTATTTCCTCTGAAATAACAATAAAGAATAAGAAATTCTTCTAAATGCCATCTCACGGAATACAGATACAAATAGTCTAAAGGTCATAAAATGTAACAGAAATTAGTATTTATAGTTTTTGTGAAGTGGACTTTAAAAAGTGAGAAAAAAATCTTTAAAAGATCTCTATGATTTATCAAGTCAATTAAAGGACACTTAAAATTTCAGTGATTCTGTTTATTGTTGTTATATGCTGTCATATTTGTTTATCATGTGCCTAAGTCATGTAAGCCGTTATCCTATGGCTATTTAATAGAAAAGCTATGACATAGTAGAATATCTTATATTTTTTTAGAGATATGAATTTCATTCTAATATTTTCCTGAATAACATACTTTTCAATAAAGACTGATGTTGTTCAGGCTAATTTTGAGTGAGATAACAGTGAGACAAGGGAGATAAACGTATTACCACCTACTACTATAACACCTAGGCTAACTGCAAAACTATCTCAGAAACCTGCTTCTAGTTTATGTGCGCACATCTGAGCCCACATATGTGCCTCCATCTGAGAGAGTCAGTGGGAAGTGTGATAGTGCTCAGTGTCCTATAATATACTGCAACAATTTTTAGCTTCAGGCTGAGTTTAACTCCTTCTAGCACCTTTTTCTTTAACCTAGATTAAAACCAAAAAGAAGCCTCATAGTGAATGAAGAGAGGGGTATCGTACACACACCAGAAACCAGGTCCCAAATGCGTTTCTGTTACTAGGTGCCAGGATTCAAAAGCATGCCCACCAGACTTCAATTACTGTTTAGTCTACATGTTGAATTCATTTTCATTTAGCTTTTCTTCTTCACTTGGATCCTGACACCAAAACTGTTTAAGTAATATTCACTGTCTATGTTACCTGTGTCATTTCAAACATTTTTTTTCGTATGACTTAGTTTTAATCACCACTCCAAGTTAACTGACCAGAGACAGTCAAGCTACATTGTCACAGTAATTAAGATGCAATTGATATGCATCTTCAAGTGCTATATTGAAATATGCTATATTTCAAGTGCTCTACAGTCCATTTAGAAGATAGGATCTATATTTCCTATGCAATGCCTAAAATTAATTGTGCCACCCCATCCTATAATGTCTCCTTATATACCAGTCAGTCATGCTTCAAGTTCCACTGTTGTTCTTCGAATGGCTAATTTGAGTCTGTATTACATCTTCCCATCTGGCTACGTACCCAGAAAACAAATTGGTGAAAAGTAGCATGACGCCAGGTTTTGTTCTTAATAAGGCAAAACAACATCATCCGTCATAGCAACAAGAAAACTGCAGTTCAGAGTGTCAGGTTTAAAATCTGGCCAGTTTATATATCAAGCCTAGAAACTGCCCTGTTATACAAAGTGCAGTAAAATCACTACAGCCCATAATAGCTTTCAACAACCCAAAGACAGGTAAATTTAGTATTAATCATTAATTAATAACGGAACATAGTAACAAATTTTCAAGGAAAGCAAATATATAAACAGAAAGAATTCTATCACACTTAAGTAGAGACAGTCTCTGCTTAGTCATTTACCGAGACAACCAGGTATGAAACAGATGCAGCTTTTACTTTTGTATACGTATTTTCTACACTGTTTTAAAAAATCCATTAGCTAAATAGGCAACAGCAACAAAGTAAGCTCCTAGAAACTCCTTTAAACTGATGCATTCCCATGAAGACTGCACCATATTCATTATACTGCTTATTATTAGACCAGTACAAGGACAATGATGTATTTGTTCAGACAAGTTTTATACAGTTTACTGGAAATTACAGCTTGTCTTGCTAACGTGGTGAGGGTTTCCCAGTCTGCTCCAATTATGCAGTAGTCTATGTAACGGGTGTTCTCTCTCCCCATATTACCAACCAAGCACAGAGAGAGTAACACTCCATACAGTACTGCACGTGAACTTTAACCACTGAAGCACTGCTTTCAATACCTTCTTTTAAAATACCACATAAGCAGCAGCGTGACTTAATGTTACAGGCTGCATGGATGCTACCACTAGAAATTCAGAGTTCTGTGTCTATAAACATAAAAATGAGGCTATGATTTTGCCAAACGGCTTACTGAAACCTCCACTGTGTCTTGACTTTGTCAAGCATGATCTCAATCGCATTTTTCCACAACAAAGACAAGCAAACTTATTTCTAAACCACGTCTTGTTTTATATCCATGGCAGCTAAGGAATGAATAGAGAGTACAACCTCTCCATACAAGAAGCTCTGTTTACAATAGCAATGAGAACAGCGATCGAGACAGCAGTAATCGAAGATAATTGCCGATGCCTCACTAATAACGGATAATTGGAGTAGATTAGAGCAAAGCATCTAAAAAAGGCAGAAAATGTGATTAAGGTTCCTATTACCTAGTCTAGCAAGAAGGGTAGCATCGTTTCCTCAGCTCTACTTGTCTCAAAACATACTATCTGGAGGTCATACAGAAGTGGAGGAAGAAAGCAATTATGATTAATGTATTGTACATGTTACTGCCCATAGTTGCTACTCAAGTTAATTGTGGTAGACTGTCTTAATCCATATCCTCAGCACCTTTTAATTCATCCTACCTATCTAAGGCAACAATATTGGAAAGCTGAAAAAGCACTGTACTTGCACCTATTCTTATACAGTATATAAAGGTTTCTGCTCTGTGAACAGTCATAAAGACTGAAATAACATGATCTTATTATTCACATGAGTGACAGACGTTCTATAAGCACCTAATCAATGACATCAGAAAACGACTTAAAAAAAGGAGGGGGCAGATGCAAGCAGTATCTAACACCTCCCACCTCAGGGTAGGTCGGAAAATACAATGGTCACATTGTAAAGCTGATACGCATTACAGAAGCAATGAACAAATAAACTAATTTTGAATGACATGCAGTACAGAAATAGCTGAACTAATTTTGAATGATGTACCTAAAGAAAAGCAACTTTATTTTTTACTTACCATATATATGATAATAAAAGATTTTATAGTTCTAAAGTATCATTAAAACAATAATTAAACTGTTATAGTAACAGAAGCTTCTATAGAACAAAGTATTTCACTGGTAATTAAATTTACCTTTATAAATGCACAGCCAGTTCCATTGTCTGTAATGGTAAGCCCAAGCACATCATCAGTTTTAAGGATTTCCACTTCTTTTCGTTGTCCTTTTATGTGTGCAAATATGAAATCTTCAAGGCCAATTTGTGCACCTAAGAGCTTGTCCATATCAGCTTTATGAGTGTTCAAAGTACAAAACATGATCTGTGCAGGAGGAAAGCATATACATTAAGTTTAACAGTATATTAGGTTTGGTGAGCTTGATAGGAAGATAAAAGGAGAGCATAGTTATGGCCTCTGACAGATCCATAGCTGAAATGATGATAACTCTCCTTCTCCAGCTGCCCCAGGAGAGGTGATAGTCTCCATCCACACACACGACAGGAAGCATCAGCAGCTCAAACTCTGCAGGTAAGAGCTGGCAGGGAGCAAAGGAGAGAGACGTACCTGTGTGAGCAGCCTCTCACAGCCTGTCCCAGCACACCAACTCTGATACAGGCGTCTTGAGCTAGAGCAGAACAGCTTGTTCCAGAGGTTAGCGTGAGCAAACCGAAGAGCCACCACCATCTTTTGCTTCGTCGTTCACTCACCTCAAATTCCACAGGATTAAAACATGACAAGGGACTGCTTCAAAATATAACTGCTTGAAAGCAGTTTCATGGGAAATAAGGGAGCTCATCAAAACAAAAATGTCAGGAGAGAGCATGAAATGTTTTATATTGCCCCACGTGTTCCACCATTAGCTCAGAGCATGTCCTCTCCAACAAGCTTGCTTAATTTCCTACCCTTCCTCCAGCATAAGTGGGGGTCATCTCTGTTCCAGCTTCGTAAAAGGAAGGCTTAAGAAAAAGGGCAATTTTTTTCTTCATAAATCAGCCTTTCTGAGGGATTTCCCTTTAGCACTGGGTGTTAGGTATTCCTTTTTCTCCTTACACTTATGCTAGTGGTTCTTTAACAGGGAGGTTTATTGTCCTGGGCATAGGCAGGATGAGACTAACCCAGCTGTACTGCTCGGGGACACAGACAATGCTTTTGCCCACCACGGCGCTGCACAGAGGAATTTGGCCAGTCTGGGCAGGCTTTGGGCTTTCTGCTTTTCAAGTACAGGCTATACTGAACAGCCTAGCCAAAAAAGAAAAAGAACAAACACAATGCTCCCCCTCACAGTAAGAGTAACTTCACCTGCCCAGCTCCTTTCCAAGCTGTAGCCGGAGAGGAGTGAGGGAGACCCCGCACAGCCTCCTCCTGGGCAGCACTGGAGAGCACAGGGCAGCACCCAAAACAGGAGAAACTTGGAGAATCCCTAAAATCTACTTCACTGAGGCAAAGAGCGCCCCTAAAGACCATCTTTCACATGCAACTGGAAGCAGGGGACGAGGAGGAGACTTGCCACCCCATTTGGCCCTCCAGCAGCACAGGTGGCAAAGCCACAGCTGCAAGCCATCAGACAAAGGCTCTGCTGCCAGCAGGACGCACATGGCTCCGACAGGACAAGAGATAAAAGTAGATACTTTTCTACCCCCTGCCTGTATCTGCTGGACATTATTTTCCTTCAGAGCGCACCTTGGGCCCCCTTGCAGCCCACTCCCCACACCAGCTCCAAATTAGGAAGTGGAAAAAGCAGTGCTAACACATGAAAAGAAGTACACAGTGGGAAGCCAGCCTAGCATTTGAGAAAAACAGCAGCAGGATGTCGCTCAGTGTCTTTCATCTTTGCTACCGCTCTAGTGGCAGTCCCCGGGGAGCAGCGGGCCAGGCCAGAGCTGCCCAAAAACCCAGGTGCAGACCTGTGCCCACGGCCTGCCGAACCCCCCAGTGCTTCGCTGGAAATGCAGGGTCCCCTTCCGCCTTCCTGGCTTCCCTCACTGTGCTTGTAAAAGTTACAGGGTTTTCCACACCACAACACTTCAAATGCCTTTTCCCTCCTTCTGGCATCACTGGATGACAGTAGAAAAATTAAAACAAGTCACCAACCTATTCAAACTATTCCCGGCCAAATGAGGGGTGAATACTTCTCCTAATGTATTTCATAGAGAGCATTTAAGTTTCTGAAGCTTTCTAGAACTTAGATTCTATAACTATGGGGGTTTTGGTTTTAAAAACTGAAAGTTTAGTAGTGAGATGGTGTTTCTTGATGAGGGGGGTCTTGTTTAGTTGTTTTGCTTTTTTAAAAAAAAAAAAACAAACAGCCCTACTTCAAAGGCTAATTGCTTATCTCATATAACCCATCAAACATCCACTACAATCTAATGCTTTCCTTTACCAGTAAGTCTCGTAACAGCACACCCTTAACAGACATTAGTTTTATTCTCTCAGGTAATGCAAAGTTGTTCAGTTAACCAATACTCAAGCAGTAACATCACCTAGAGAAGTTCAGCTGGTTTTAAGTAGAAAATTGGATTTTATTTTATAAATAATAATCATCTCTAATCATCAGGTTTTTTTTTTAACCAAGAAGGTTCAATTCAAACAGACTATATATAAGTTCACATATACATTTTCAGCTCGCTCTCAAGCTACATACCAACTGGGCCAGTTTACAACCGCAACTCAGTTCTTGTTCCTACAACGAACGACAAGCACTGTCTTTACATTTTAGACATCAGCATCTTTCATCTGACCTTGTCAAACAGACAATCATCTAGTAAGTCCTGTCACACCTTTGAATAGATAAAATTGGCAACAGAGCAGAAATGTGATATTTAGAAACTCGATCCAGAGTTTCTCTTTTTAGACCTTCATCTGGATGGCATTCCTACTATAGCCTATAAGTCTGCAGAATTTTCTGAGTCAGTTCTGTGTTAACCACAAGGCTGAGAGAGCATCAGCCAGTCAAAAATAAAACTTAAATCATTCTTTATCCTCTTTAGTGAACAACTGCTTTTTCTCAGAACAGATATATGCAAAGAGTAATGTACTAAAGATGTATCCACCCAGGATAATATACAGTTACACCATCTATCAGTTACAGCACAGCTTTATTTGTACATGGCTGAGACCTGTCAATTCAAAAATGATATTTTTTCATAGATTTTACGTAAGTTTAATATAGGTACCTAATAGCAGCTTATATACTTAAACATTTAAACAGCAGCTATTATAGTACACCTTCCATTCACTCAAAGTTTGGTTTATTTTTGATAGTAATTTTCTTACCCAGAAATGAAGTAAGAAAAAAATTCAATGTGCAATTTTCATTGTTCAGTCTTTTCTCTCTCTTCTTACCCTCAACCTTCATATGCATTTGGTCCTTAACTCAGCATACCAGTGCTGTGACGTTTCATGCCAACTTTAGCAAGATATTATAAATCGTAACTGTTACATCAGTCATGAAGTATCTAGGATTCCTCCTTCACTGAGAGTGTTATCTTGTGCGGCACACAGAACAAGGAAATTCCATTCGGCTGGCAGGGACTGGGGGCTTATGCACAACTTTATAAAATAGATTTGTCAGATAAGATTACTAACAGATTATTCCCTGCATCGGTATTTTCAATAGGGAGAGACTACATTAGCCAATAAAAACAGGGTTACACTGTGTGTTATATAAAGAAACTGTATTAGCTAAGAAAAAGAGGGTTACGCTATGTGTTATATAAAGTATATATGCAGTACCATATTGCATATCCTATATATTAATTACATTCTCATCTTCCATATTAAGCTTACACCTTGAGAAGAACTCAAAAATAAGTTGATTGATAGATGACATACTCAGAAGCTATTAGAAGTGCTCTTAAAATCAGTAGATCTCAGATAACTTACAAAGGAGATCATAATCACTTTCTCTATTTAAAAGGTGGGGAAATGGGAATTCTTCTGAGCACGATGTAACACCCACTGACATATTTCCCTATATACGTAGGCGTCATTATATCAAGAAATCACCAACGCATTTTCTAGGTATCTTACTCACTTTATCCTCCCTGGGGAAAACGTGGGAGCCTTGACTAGCTGCAGCAACAGAAAGAGTAACCAAGTCCTCCAAGTTCTAGTGTGCTTTTGGTACTCTATCAGGTATGCAAATTTGCCTCCCCAAATACATTCAAATTACTACAAAATAAGCATTCAGTGGCTTATTTTTCTTTTTTTAAACCGAGAGCGCACAAGGATTACAGTGTAAGTTCTTCCATACAGCTTAAAAGTATTTGAAAAACAGATCACTAACACAGCAAGCATCACACATAATATGGGTGTGAAATTTAAGCACTGCTTAGGGGAACAGCAAGCAAACAATTGTTGCCATAGGGTTGGGAGGAGGTGGTTTGTAGGGAGTGTTAAGTTTGTTCATTTAAGCTCTTCAATCTGTAGGCAAGATTGTGAACAATTTGTTTCAAGAGATAAGCATGTACTCTAAAACTCTGAACAGTTTGATGATGAGGATTTCACAAGCTGATCCTTTTTTCTAACCTAATATACACTTCAGATTTCTTCTTGTAATAAGGTCACTTTTATTCAGAAACCTAAGTTTCAGCATAGTGGCTTATTTTTCAGTACTCTTTCATAAAAGTTCAAATCGAACAGGTTTAAATCAAATACTTCTATGAAAGTTTAATGCAGCACAGCCTCACAGTACACTTGACTGTTTAGCATGAAGAGGCAAGGCCCGTGGAACAACAGACCAGACACAAGCTCAGCAGCTGAACTCGGGTTGCTCAAAGAGTTCAAGACAGAGGGAGCTGCATTTCTGCCCTTGGTGCTACCAGGAAGGTCTCCCTTTTCCTATATTTCCCTTATGAAGCAAAATTCCTTTTACCATGAAAGAAACCCCAACCTCCACGGGGTCTTGACAGACACACCCGCTGAGCATTCAACTTACCTCACCAGCCCCACCATACTTTACCTTCCAAAGCAAACAAAATAATCAGAAGTGCAAATTATGAGTACACAAACCAAAAGTCCATATAGTTTCTGTGGTTTACCATTCCCTTCTCATCTGATCAAGAAATAGCCCTGCTACAGTTGGACTTTAACATCCGCGTTCGCAGTGCCTGATTAGCTACTTTGAATACTTTAAAGCCCTACCATGTGCTCTCACAGGAGCACACCACCACCAAATGCCTTAACAGACCCACACTGTCCTTTGGTCAGTGCTCATTTATTTATCATACAGGCTGCACTTAGCACTTTCACCCTTACAGGGAACTTAACATTCCCTGCCACATTTCCCAACAGTCACAGTGGAGTAGTAATCCTAAATGGCCAAGACCATA